TACCTAGGTTTTGCTACTACTTTTAAAATTATATACCTTATATAAAAACCCTAGAAAAATATCGTTCCCTTTAAAATTGATATAATAATAATAATAATAGAAAGCTTAGTAAACCCGAAGGTTCGGTGAGGACACCACCAATCGCCGTCTAAAAACCTCTCCACTGGGCGCCGTCCAAACCCAGTCTCACCAGATAAGTCTTAGCGCAATCCTCCCACCTTCGCTTCGGCTTACCCCTCGGATTAGTTGGCACAGCGCATATTAACCTCTTAAGAATTATTTCGTTACCAAGCCAAACAATTTCACACGCCGAATCACCTTGATTACTTGATACAATTCACGCAACTCGGCGTGAACTGTATTCTATGTAACCGTCTAAATTCTTCCTCTTCGGTCCGAATATTCTACGCATACTTTATTTTCAAAAATCTTAAGACGTCGCTCATACCTTAATGTAAGCGGCCTACCTTTCTCATCCATAAATAACCGTACGTAAGGTAATAGTTTTCTAAATTCTACTTTTTTTTTTTTGTTCTTTTTTTTTTTTTTTACACCAACAGGCGCAAGCTAAGTAGTTTTATCACAGAAATATTTATTACAATTATTTCCCGCCTTCAACCTAACTTTCCTTTTCGATTTCTTTCTTTCTAGTTATTGTAAACCTTACTGTTTTTTCTAGTTCTGGTTTTAAAATTCATAACCCACACAAAAATGTGCTTCCAAAAATTTTTTTGCGTAACTTATACCACTCTCTTCTGAGCAATCCTGGTTCATTAAATTATAATTATACTTACATCGTTTCGATTTACACTTGGAGACTCCAATTTAAAACAATCTTACCGAAGTCACGGATCCATCGCAATGCTTTTACCCTCCAATTTACCGAGTTAAAAATTAGACAAAAAATGACTGAATTATGTTTGGGATAACAGTATAATTGGAATGATGTTATGGCGGATGGAAAACCCGAGAATTTTATCAAATAAAATATTTATAGGTTACTATGAGATAAAGCTATTTACGAAGTTGCAGGCGTATGTTAATAATTTGATAACAAGTGGTCTGTACCACGGACTATAACTGATAATGAATTTTAGCGTTATATTTTTACTTTATTTCGTGTGAATGTGTTCATATATCACTATAATTATTGTCCACGTGACAGATTATTATGTTTATAAATAAATAAATAAAATATAGAACAAGAATTTCATTAAGTAACTTGATGACTTTTTGTGCTGTAAAGTTAGAACGAGTCCTTAGTGAAATTATTTTTTACATATTAAAGAATTTGTATTATTTTTATGCGCTTAATGAGATATCGTATAGATCAGTATGATCGAAATTAACAACTAGGTTAAAATACCTTCAGGTTTAAATCGACCATAGAGTGCTACCAATGGGTAGTTTCTCAACATGTGATTTCATGCTATTTTATTCCTTTGTTCACATTAACTGAATGTATTTTTACTTGTAATACAGATGTAAATATCATCAATAAATAAAAAATAAAAAAATCGACCAAAAGTGTGATTATTGTCTTTTCGCAATAAACCGACGATGCATTGAATTATACATGATATTGAATTAAAACCTTGTTTTTTTACAGTCAGTTTTATTTGGCCCTAATTTTGGAGCATAAGTCGGAAATGTAGAACAATTGTTACGAGGAAGAAATCCGCCTATTGTCTGGCAAAACAAATGGGACTGCAAACCACCGTTGACACATCATAAATTCATTTTTCCAGGAGTTTTCCTCTTCTCCTTTTACTCTTTTCCCTAATGAAAGCATCCTTTAAATGGCGGGATATGATTTTTACTCTTATTCTGAACATTTTTCTTGGAAAAAAGAACCATTGAGGTTTTACATCATAGGATGTTTAAACTTGAGAGCAAACTTTTGGAAGATTTCCTTCTGCAAACAGCCGTAGTCTTATTAAGGAAATCATTGGCCGTTTTCAATTAACTGAAATAATATTTGTCAAAATTATTTTTTTTAAATATTTTTTTTATTTATTCATGATATTTACAACTGTATTAAAAAATTAAATACATTAAGTAAATTTGATAACAGAAAATAATAACATGAAATGACTTGTTGAGAACCTACCCACTGGTAGCACTCTAAAAACAAAATGTATTTACAATAAGAGATCTCGAGGCCATCTTCTTTTCAGACGCATCGGAGGGTTATCAGGAATAGAAGAGGAAGCAAGGTTAGAGACGAGAGGATTCGGATGGTTCTGAAGTTTATTATGGAAGGATTGGTATCTGGATTGGCCCAAATCGGAAACATAAGGAACATTAAGGTCATTATGGATTATTTTATTGGTGACCAAGTAAGGAGCATTGAAGATTTTCCGAAGGATTTTGGATTGTAAGGATTGGGTACGAGAGGAATTCGATGGCTTAGTGGAGCCCTTTTCTTTTGTAATTAACTGGAAGCTTAGAGCGTTTGTCTAGTAAGTGTTGCAGTAGTCGGAAACGTTGAGCAGTTTCTTGTCGTTTCAGTCTGGTATGAGGATTCCTAGTTAGACGTTTGTCCAAGTGAAGTCCAAGGTATCGGATTTGTTCAACAGAGATAATAATACTTACACATTATTAAAGGATACTGTGGGACATGAGGTCATAGGTTTACGTCGAAGGGTAAAGGTGATTTGATGGGATTTATTAGAATTTATTTTAATCCTCCAGTTTCGACACCATTCTTCAATGCCTGTGATGTGTGATTGAAGAGTTTGAAATAATTATTAAAAGTAAAAAAAAAAAAGCCTATTATAAAGCAAACGAGCCTATAAAACAAACGATTTAAGGCGTATTATAACAAGCCAGCTACCTAGAGTAATTCATTGGTCAGTCACACTTCAATCGAAAAATTACACTTGTTTACTTTATTTGAATATATAATTCAATATATATTTGAATGAATACGCCACCCTTAATATAATTGGATCCAATCTGGTATAAAAAAAAATAAATAAATAAGCCACTTACACATTAAAAATGAAATGATCATGAGCATGAGTGTATTTAAGAAGTTATTTTTATGATTTTAGTTTCTTTTTGTTTGCTTTAGTTTCTTTTAGTTTGTACACATAAACTTTTAGTATTATTATTTTACTGTTTATTTATATTTATTTATTGTACACAGAGTGAATGAGCTACCCTTCTATCAGTATTACTATTATCTTTAGATGTGATTGTAATATCTCTCATTAAAGAATTGAAAAAAAAAAAAAAATTGAATATTAACACAATCTGTCTCACTCAAGGGCAGAAATTATAGCTAAAATAATTCACTCATAAAATATATGTGTATATATATTATAGCAATTAAGAACAGATTAAAAAATAAAAATGACCAAACGAAATATAAAATAATAGTAAAAAAATAGTAAACAGTAGTAAAAAAGAAACATAAATGACTTAAAAAATCGAAGGATAATGAATGACATTTTCGACAAATGATCATGAATGACATAATTTAAAGTAGGTCTTTATTAAGCAACAGTAATGATAATCCTTATTTATTAAATTCATAAAGGGACAATTCTGATTATATAAATGGCTGTTAGGTGTTGAATATAATCATCTATTCTTATAAGTGACTACAAGGATATTAATTCCTTTCTTAATTATTCATACTTCATTATACGGCCTTCTGTTCGTCGTTTGATTGTAGAGGGTTGCTCAGTTTATATGTTTCCATCAAATCGAAAATGCTTCTCTTACAGCTTGTTTTAAGTTTTGAAACTAAATTGAAGAACTTGCATGTGTCTAAGAAATAAAAGATATCCTGAGAATAAACAAGTGGGTTACTTTTAAACAAATTGAATCTGTCTGAACACCCAGAAGAGAAGACTTTATAGAACGAAGGAGTTTTATTTTTATTTTTTAACATTATGGTGGCATATACCGTAGCATGGATGGATGATCAATGAAACTGAATGGTAAGTTGTGAAATAATTGATAAACATGTCTAATGATTAAATATCTGTCAAGTGAGGTTAGTATTGCTTTCTCACAGTTATTATTGACCAAACAATATTTATGTTTGATAGTTTATAGTTTTTCGAAAGAGAATAATTGCGTATACAAAAATTTGGAAGAGTTACACATTCGAAAATTGCTTATTTCACGATTCGTGATTTAAAAAAAATCCCAGTACGTACTGAATAAATAAATAAATGCATACGTACTTAATGGATATGTTTTCACTCGTAAAATGGTTAAAACACAAAATCCATTGAAAAAAATCAATTTTTTGTTTGTTCGGATTTAACGAGACCAATATTTTGCAACAGTAAAAATAAAAAATAATTTAAGTTAGAATATAAAAATGTGAGTGAACTTTATGACTTGCTCGACGATTCAAACAAAAGCAAAAAAAACAAAACAACAAAAGCAATGACTTTTTTTTCAAGCCAAAATTAATTTAAATTTACTAAAAATTACACGAAATCTAAGTAACAGCAATTTTATGCCACTACATGGAATCGACCAAACAATACAGTACAAATTAACTTTTTAAATACAATTTAACATTTTATAAACCCATAAAAATATTGTATTAATCTAACCTCCAATTTCATATGACATTTCACAGACGTTGCATAGTTAACAATTATTTACATTAATCTTAATTAGTAAATGGAATTGATTAAAAAAAAAAAATGATTAAACGTACATATATGATTTCTGCCCAAGTTTCAATTTTTAAGAACTACAAAAAAGTGGGTAAAGTTGTTCGATTCGTTTGATGAATGAAGAATTTAATTTGTAGTGTGTTTGTTCTTTTATTTTTTTCGTAAAATAGAAGATGGGTTGTATTTTCTTATCAATTTTTTTAAAAATGAAAATTATTAAAAATATAAAAAAAAAAGGGGATAAAAAGAAAGAATGGAACTGAGCTGATATAAATAAATCTGAAACTTGAACTACCCAGCGCCAATCGAGAAACCACCTCTGGATTTAATCTTAAACGGAGAGGAAGCCTTGGGATGAGATTATACGCTAGATTAGAGCTGGTTGCTAATTCTGGAGAACATGGAGAACGTCAGGGAGGAGGACTAAGATGTAGCATCCCTTGGTCTGTTTGCACAGCGCATCAGTCACGTCTTCAGGCAAATTGCCCTCGAGAGCTCTTTATTTTTGGAAATCGCCCAAACAATTGCCTTATTTACAAACATTCCTTCGAATGGGAAACAGTTTTTATTATGGTCGGTGTAGACTGATTGGGTTAGTGACTGATTAGGCAATCAGAAAGTCTGTATTGCTGATCAGGATGAGATTAGAATTTTAAAAGGAATCCTGATACTTACTACAACAATGTATAGATATTCAATGTACAACAACAATTTATACAACACTACCATATGGTAGTGATTCGTTTCAAGGATAATTAAAAAACTCCAAGTAAGGTCAGTATAGCTTCCTCACCGTTTTCATTGTATATTACAAGGTATACAATTTTTCTTATGAGAATAAAATCTCTGGGAGATGCCGATTCGGAAATACAGTTACCCTTCAATATCCAACAAAAGAGTAATGTATTTGAAGATTCCATATTTAATTATCCTTAATAAAAAAAAAAAAATGCGAGACCATATCTTTGCTCCTAATTGTCCAATTTTAACGAATTTTTTTTTTTTTTTTTTTTTTATAGGAAATTCCATAAAGATTTAAAAGACCTTTAAACGATACTAGGTGGAATGCTTGTCACGTTGATTTGACTACAGATAGACAGACAGACAGACACTTAACCGAATTTGATCCTTGATGTCTGAAACGCAAAAGGCCTGTGAAAATTTTCGATTCTGAGTACCAAATTTTTTTTAATCTCTCTCACGAACACAATGCTTCTCTACCTTCGGTACAAATTCTTACATAGTTCGTGTTTGTTCGTGTTCGCTTTTATTACTTTTAATAAGATACCTTTCATTATTTCAAATAAAAGCAGTCAAGGTACCTCAGAGAAAGAGATTTTGAAAATTCAACATATGCCTTCTATTTCAATGAGGACAATACTAATGACCACTATGTATTATTAACATGTATAGTACCATATTATTACCATTATCATGTATAAACATTGGTATAAACAGTTTAGGGTATTGCCACTAGCAGTTTTCGAGATATTATTAGACTTTGTACTTAATAAGTCGATTTTAATGAAGAATTTATTGTAATATTCCAGGCATATACTTACCTCAAAAGGGTAATTTTGAAGATGAACGAAAGTGGACATTACGGCCATAGGCAAAGGCTTCTAGGTGACGAGGGAGAGATATATTTTTTTCATGAAATAAAACAAACTTTTTTTAATATAAAATGTATTAGTTTAATTAACATGCTTGAATTATATAAGACAATTTTCAGTTTGTATATTTTTATCAGCCATAACTTGTTTCAAACTCATTGAAAGCAGTTGGATACTTAATTAATACATATCATGCAAACAAATGTACGTATAAATCAACCGTCCTAAAGTAAGCTAACTTTGGCGGAAATCTCCAGTTTTGTAAACCTCAATTTCTCAAGTTAATTTAGCATGTTCAGTTTACATTTTATGTATTTTTTATGTCAAAATAGATAACCATTGATTTACTTATTTACTACAAAATTGTTCGTAATAATGGCATTCCAAGCAAGCCATTATCCAGCGACGATTCCTTCCATTGAGTAAAGAATATTACAAGGGTAGTATCTTTCTTTTAATCTCAATTATAATAGCCAACATTTGTAACAATTAGCTGTGTGCTTGCGATTCGTGATAATATATCTCGACGTTAAAACTAAACTTTAATAACTGATATTTTCCTTGTTTCAAATTATTATTATTTTTATCATCAGAAAATTTGGCCACTGCCTTATCACTCCTTATGTCATAGTCAATGCATACAAATCATAAATAATAAATATTTATTAATACGTTAAACCTTTCAAGTTGGAAATATTGGCGCCCGAAAGAGATTATTTACCCGTGTCCTCATGGAGATAATTAGTCTGTTTGTATCAAACATGCCGTTCAAGTTTTGAGTGGTGGAGGGGTGTTTATTTGTGGATAAGTTTCGGCAAGGAAGCTAAGGAAGTTTGTTAGTATTGATAATTAACTACGTTATTGTTGAAGTCACCCGGAAAGGACCGGAGAGTGGTATCGATTGGGGTAGATGTCTGATATAACTTGTGAGGTTATCATGTAGTCCTCATCAACCTCAACTAGACCAGTCTTCTTTTGAAGTTCTTGAAGATCTCAAATTGCTGGTAACTTTTAAAAATATGTATTTATAACAAGCTTAGTGCCTACGTTAACAAACAAGCAGTCCATAGTATGTTAGTACATACCAAAAGTAACTCTAAAAAAATATGTTTTAATTTTTAAAAAAACTGACTACAGAAATCGGCAAATCCTATCCGACCTTAGAGAATCTAAGTGGACATCTTCTTAAACAGCTTGGTAAATTGTTAGGGAAATTGACATCTAAGAATTCTAAACTTGGATGGTGAGTCAGGTTGCTTCTATCCCTGAACCAAACTGTTGATATGTACCGATAAATAGAACGAAATCTATTAATAGATGTCAATTTCAACAAGATGTTAAAGTAGATATGCGAGTAAAATCGTTAGAATGTATAGGATTTCCTGTTTTCTGTAGTCTAGCTTTTTTTTTTGTTTTAATTCAATATGTTTTTAGTTAATCAAGTATTGACAATTTATTGTCAACACATATGATCAAGATTCTACACTTGGTATGATCTGAAACCAATACAAATTGGAGATAACTTGAAATAAAATAAAAAGAAAAATTGTATTTTAAAAAAGTATTTTAAACTCAAATGGTTTCTAAACATTCACGAAACCTTGCTGAGTAATTTGATTAGTCTTACTTGAAAGTCTGCTCAGTCTTTCGCTAGAAAAAAATCGTTACATACATTTTAGGGACCAATCATAATAAATCTCCGCCTGGTTTCCCCTTATTAGGGTAATAAAAAAGCTAAGGTGTGTGATTTATACCACAAAATAGAGGTGAAAACATAAAAGGCGAGATTAATAATATGAAATATAAATTATAAATAATAACTCATTATAAATAAGATGTAATGCTGAGCATTTTCCTCGGTTACAATATGCCAGTACGATTTTTATTTTTCGATATATTTTAATCCCTGTGCAGAAACGTTTCAATTAGTCGACTCCAGCCGAATTTAGCCGAACGTTAACATATCGGAAATCTGAGGGCTCTACTAATTCACTATCTACAAAAAAGTGCAAAACGCGCCTAAAGAAGTTTTAACTTAAAAAAATATATATAGTGTATCGTTCAGCACTTATTTACATAAGTCCTGTAGTTCTAGAATCGTGACCTTAAAACCAATTCCCATTAAAGCCGATACATTATTTAATTAAATAATTTATCTAAAATAACCAAAGATAATGAATGTCATTACAGTCAATTTGTGTATTTGAAATAATTCTTCCACACTGTACCATGTTCCATGTTATTTTAAGTATTATGGACTAGGATGAAATTTGGAAAATTTAACTTCATTTACTGGTATATACAAATTTCCAAAATGGCTATGAAGATAGCTTACCAACGCTTGGCATTCACTGCTTAGTGATGTTTAAAGTCTACTAATCCGAAACTAAGTTGATTCAATACAAAGGCCGAAAGTTAAAAAATAAACCCAGTTTATTTCCGATGTTTAAACTACAACATCTGATGAGGATTCAATGATCTTAAATAGATCCTCCATAAAAGAATTCATAGCGTTGCAATTTTTTTTTTTTCATTTCAACAATCCTTTTTAATATTCTTAATAAATGAAAATTACAGGATATTAACTATTAAACTATGTACTTGTCTTCTTTTTGAACGTTATTTCGTGTTACTTGGAAACGAAAACATATTTGGAAATGGCAGAAGTTTCGGTAGGAAAGATTTTTTAAATCGAATCCTAAAGTTTTAAGTTTTATTTTATGGCAGACATATATCTGTGGCACCTGTGCGATAGATAGAAAGAAAGATTTATTTCATATTCATTTTACACATTTCTTTTTTTTTAATTACAAAACTTTTTTTTGGCAATGGTATAGAACCGTCTGCCTGGAGTCGCCCTATTACATACATACACATATATGAAATAATAATAATAAAATAAATAAAAACAATTGACTTTGGAAACATTAAACATCCTTTTGTTATTTAACACAATATAAAACAAGTTAAAACTACCTGATACATATAATCTAAATAAACTTTAATTTGTCAAAAATAACAAAGAAAGAATTTTTGTTGCATAACCTTAATATTATACTTGCTTTTGTTTACATGTAACTAAAGAATGTTGTGTGTTGTATTGCTGAATCAAAAACATCCTATATTTTTATAAGCGTATATATGATACACATATAACCTGCTCCAATCTTTGCCATTGAGTATATTTATAAGATAATTGCGGTTTATGATTTTTTTCCTTAAAATATTTCATTCGATATTCCTGTGAAATCAAACAAACAGCGAAGTAGTGGTATACATTTAAATTATTTCATTTAAATTATAAAGGCAACACCATCTTTGTTGCTCACTCCTCATACATAACACTGTTGTTTAGAAATAATAATTGTCCACTCAATTTAAATATAACTTTAATAAAATGCATTTTTTTACATCTGATATGGCATACCTTTCACCTAAATCGCTGTTTAAATCCTTATAAATATTATAAAATCTAGACACTGCAGCTTTTTCCCTCGTATCCACTTTAAGATTATTTTCTAATTTAGTTAAAATATGGAGAATTATTTTATCACTAGTGTTTCGATTGTGATATTGATTTTATTACAGAGCTCAGTGTTTTCTTTGTTCCAGAATATTTTCTGTTTCATAATTTCTTTAGCTAAAATGTTCGGTAATCTTGATGGTGGTAAAGAAAGTACCCTTTGTATATATTTCAAATGTAATGACAAAGTATAGAAGAATATCGGTATAAAATTAAATGCCAAATATAAAATATGAGGTGAGTTAGTAGGAACCTGTGCATAGTGTTTCAAGTGTAATTTTGTGAATTACTTTGTGTACCTTCAGAAAGCTAAACTTTCTCTCTTTCTTTGTATCTAATGGACTATGATTCTTTTGTGAATCATGGATTGAAATTCGAAAATTTTCCTAACATATGATATTTATACTTACCGTGCTATGCACAGGTGCCACAGATATAAAATCGGGTCAGAT